TATATATATATATATATTTGTAATCCTTTTCTTTAAATTAGGATTTTGTCATCACTCATAAAGTCCATGAGCACTAATGTGCTAGATGAAATCATTACCAAATGGCTTGTTGAGTCGATCCTTCGTAGCCTCTCGACAACTGATTAGATTATGGATACTGAGCTGACAAGTAATCTATAGTTTATATGCATCTCTCAAATTTTGCTTGCAAATCTTCATGTCGCTTTGTGCACTCGCGGAAGCTTCATTCATCGATAACATCATTTTTACCAAAAAGCTAACACATGCTTGTGGAGCTTCATTCAAATGCTTTGTGATAATATTAATGTATCATTAAGGGTCTATTTGAGGCAGTTGCTGCTGTTTGAAGAAGCGGATGTAAAGCTGTTGCAAAAGAAACTGTTTTTCAAAAAGTTGTGGTGGCTATCACAAATTTATTTTATTTTAAAAGCTCAAACCAGCCACCACACTTTAACAACTTAGATTGAAAAAATAATTTTCTACCAGAGAAATTTCTAAAAAGCAGCAATAAAATATTTTCACAAACATAATTGTGGTAATGGTCTAAAAAGCAAAGTAGGTAGAAAGTTGTCCCAAACATACGCTAAATTTATATAATGAATTTGCTTTTCAATATAAATATATTTTTTTATGTATCATAACTCTTACTAATTATGTGAAGTATTGTTGGCAAAACTTCTTGAGAGTTTTATGTTAAAACTGAGAGAGAGCTTTGATTTTCCTTAACCTCTCTTCTACCCTCAATGCATGACTTCCCTTTGTTGTCTCTATGAGGAATCATTCTATAGATTTATTGTCCTTGCTTAAATCATACCTTAGTTGATTTATGAAATTGTACTTTTTGCCCGAGTCAAGATTTAATTATTAATCAATTTTTAGTGATTGGATTTATGTTTGTAGACTTAAATCTCCATGGAAACTTTACTCAACCTCTTTCATTATTCTCAAGGAGCCCTCGTTTAAAGTGTCAAGAGCCATTTGTAGTTTTTACTTTTTCATACTTCTAAGTTTTTTTTTTCCAGTGCTCCCGCACTGTCATCGAGAGGGGTACATAAATCAGTACTTCAAACAACTATAGATGTCGCATCATCAAAGAGCCCATGGTCAACATATTCAAATGGAGAACGGTCTCCAAAGTCTGATTTTGATGATTCATCAAGCTTTGGCGCAGCGACACCTCTGCTCAAGTCCTTAATGACCCAGGTTGCAACCTTTTCTTAATCCTATAGTTATAAATTTATGTTTTATTTCTTGCGCATTTTTCATTTCATTTCTAATAATAAAGCTGGAATGCCTGCCAAGTTTCGTGTTTTCTTTTGGGGCATTTACATATATGCCACACAATTTATATGTATTTACATGTCCAACACCTAAACTTTCATATTTACATGCATACCTCTCAAATTCGTAACATCACATAAAAAATACCACTATCAATACCTTTCTAAAAGTGAAATGCACCTTTTCATGCATAGGTTTGTTTATAACACCAAGCTGTTATATAAGTTTAAATTTCAACTTTTGGGCTTTAGATATGTAAATACATAAAATGGTATGGCAATTTTCTTTTTTTTTTTTCCAATTTTTAAAACAGCATTCCAACTTCCATGAAATACTCAAGCAAACTAAAAATTATTTCGAGTCCTTTTAAAAATAAGTTCATTTGTTTCTAACACGCCGAAGATAATTTTGTTCAAACCCAAAACATGAACAAAACAAAATATAAATAAAAAATCTAAAAAGTAATGTCAAACGGCCCCTAAAATTCTGTTATTATACGAAGCCAGGTAGGAAGCAAGTTTGGGGAGAGTACATCGCGATGGGGGTTGATGCTTTCCGACGGGCAAGTCGGTAAGCTGAAGGACAAATCAGCAGCTGCCATGTCAACATTTGGCGACATGCTTCCCGGCCCAGCAGCCGGACTCCTATCATCATTGACATCCACTGCATCAAGGTTTGATTCTTTATAAAACCCCTACTTCACCTATTATTACATCATTCATACATTACCCAAATGTTCTATCAATCCCCTGCAATCTTGGCTATGGCTATCGAAGCAGCGGTTCTATTTCATGAAAATGCCGTTTTCATAGGACCAAAACGGGATCGATAAATATATAGGAATGATTGTTTTCATATTTTTTTAAAGGTTAGTTTCATTAGGTTTTGTTCGGTTATGTAAAGTTTATAGGCTGTAGGGGGTAATATAGCAAAGTTTCCATAACACTGCTGATTTACCTGTTGTAATATAATGAATTGTTAGGTCACAAGGAAGAGATAAACCGGCCAATTTTGTTTGTTTTTAGGTTTAGGGCAGCTGTTTAATTTATATTTCTTTGATTCAATAAAGGTTTTTTTAATTATTTTAGAGAATTTTTTTTATGATGTGTTCCAATTCGCAATTGCTGTTCTATCATATGTTCTAATAACCACTACAACATATAAAATCACAACCAATCACATGCTTTTGAATTATGCTCGCTTTTATCGAATTCTCCATGATTTGATCGGAACTTGCATTATGCATGTGTATGTACCGTAGCTGGCATTATTTAAATAGCTCGCCATATGCATGTTGAGTAAGCTCTTGCGCACATGATACGGCAAGTCTAGAATGAGGCTGTAAATGATACAATGCACTTTATTAACTACTCTTGACTCGAAAGTTTATAGATGAATATATATTTTTAATTTTAAATAAATTAAATTTAAACAATTTAATTTAATGTATTAGTAGATATAAACAAATTTGTTAGTCAATAAATAATAGGTTGATAAATATTTTATATTTATATGATGTATTATTTAAATTAAATTTATTTAGTTTATGGGTCCAAAAATAATATGTTATAGTTGGATATCAATATGCAATTGCATGAAATTTTAATACAATTTATTTTTATTTAGATGAACTAATTTCTACTTACTTATTTTTTCATTAAAAAAATTGTATTTATAGTTACATAGTATTTTATTCATTTAATATAAACTATTTAAATATTAATTAAAATTTATTCAGTAATTTATTTCTTCAGTAAATAATTTTCATAAAAAATGAAATACACATTCCTGTTTCAAATTCTTTACTAATTTTATGAAAAAATCAAGCACATTTTATATAAAAAATTAAATGCTCATTTAAAATTTCAACATGTTCACCTTATATACATTAATCAACTATGACTATTAAGAAAATTGAAACAAACTCAAGTTGAACGCTCAACTCAAATTTGAATTGAACATGAATAATTTGTGACTTAGATCAAGTCACGCCCAATCAAAATGACATTCTTTACTGCACCCCACATTGGCTCGATGACATCTCACAAAAACAGGCCACATCCACCAACCTATAACATGTCTGTTGGTCAAGATGAATGAAATAATAAGATAGGAAAACCCACATATAAAAGCAGGCCCACGTGAATTTTAAGCAAGTTTAGCCAATTGATAGATGCATTATGTTAAGACTTAATTATAGAGTTTCAATCTGATTTGCTTGTATTAATTTTTCTCGTATAACAAAAGAAGGCACCTTTTCCCGTTTTTGAAGAAAAAGTTGGGGCAATGAACTAAAAAAATAATAAAATATCCACAATGCCACTAAAGATATAAAATATTTATATATTTGAATGTTTTAAATATCATCACCATCACATAGTTTGCTTCAAATCTAAACATCAATAATACAACATAAAAATAAAAAAAAATTATCACACAAGTAATATTATAAAATATCAATGCAAAAAAAGAATCACAATAATAACAAATTTTTACATCAAGCACTTTCAAATATTGTATCAAAATTATGGTTGCCTTCATTATTATTGGGCGGCAAATGGCACGGTCAACGGTCAGAACCACCTCCCACCTTGAAATTATTTTTGGAAGATTTACATGCCACATAATTTATATGTATTTGCATATCAAAACTTAGGTACAAATTATTTAAATCACCTTCAAGAAACATATGGACTTCCATCAGACATAAGCTGTAGTCATCAATCACCCCACCACCAATCATTGATAGGACTTTCTTCCTCACCTATATTTTTCAACTGTGAAGTTGCTGATAGTGAGCCCTGACAACATAAAATGTCACATAATTTATAGGTTTTCTTCTCTCTTAACAGATTTGCTAGTTCCTATCCCCACTGAAGTAGACTTCAAAATATAACAATCATCCAATGCAACAAAGTGTTAAAATACATGCACAAACTTTGTAGGATTCCCAAACGTTTCATTCAATACTTTCATTTTCACATAGGTCTAGACTACAAAAATCTTACTTTAAGAAACAGATTATAACAGATGTAGCACAGCATTTAGGTATGAGATGGAGACATTAAATATCTATATCATGGCGTGCTTAACTATAATGCTAACATGCATAAAAGCACATTAAAAAATGCAACTTCAAATAGTTGCAAGGATGAAATCCACTGAAAGCTTTCTTTTTCTTGAGGATAACAGTTCACAATAGAGAAGTATTTATATAGGCTCATTAAAAGTAGGCACGATGTAAAATTAACAAATTCGACACAACCACAAGTAAACCGAAGCCCATCACATATACCTGGAAATGAGGGCCGTCGAGACACCGTGTAATCTGCTTGAACAGAGGAGCCATATAGCCATAGCCAAACTAAGACGCCTGGGTGGCCTCCAGTAAGCATCTCAGGAGACGATGTAACTCGTAGACGATCTGTGGATGAGGCTAGGTGGGATCAAGAAACGGTTTTCTTATGGATTAGCTCTCCAAGCCAGTGTATTTGTGAGATTCGAGGGAGGCGGGGGAAGATGTTGATGCCCATTGTAAGGATGAGCTCATACTGGACTGGTTCGGAAAGTAGGACCTGGACTAGATGAAATCAACAAGCCTGAGAAGAGTTGGGTGCAGAGAAATCGAAAACCATGGAACCGATCTGTAGCTTGCCGAGGAGAAGGGAGTACCATTCTAGGATGTAAATGACAATGAAAATGAGTTCTGGATCTGCGTCCTCCACCGCCGCCATCGTACGCATGGTGGACGGTACCGTTGGAGGTGTATACGGTGGAGCCAGCCGCGGCTGTGTGATAAAGGAGAGGATAATCATTGTCTTCATCCATTTGTCCCTTTGTAATTCTCGATGTTGTTCTCTCCCTTCTCTAGTGCATCATCACCCGATCAAAGGCATGGAAAGAATAAATAGAAGATTTATCTAATGGGAGTCGAGATAGCCATGAACCATCAGAGAAGAACGGAGAATCCTACTTGTTTGATCCCATCCCGAAAGCACTCAGAACTAAAGAATGGAGGATAGATAGAGAGAGAGAGAGAGCACAGAGAAACCCTATGGAGATCACTTCCAGAGGACAAAGTATCATATTACCAAATAATTAAGTTAAATATCAGGTCAATCTCAACTCCTATATATTTACATATCTAACGCCTAACTTCAATACTAAAAGTTAAAAAGGAGATATTTTAATGTGATATGAAACTTTTGCGTAAATATAAAAAACGAAGTTTAGTGTTAGATATGTAAATACATAGGAATTGAGTGATACAAATACCCCTATTTTCGTTACAGCATGAAAGAAGAATAAAACTGGCCACGATAGAACAGTTGGCATTCTTCAGTATAGCATAAATATATGTCAAAATCAATTTTCTCCAAACACCTAATGATACATCTTCCTGATTAAAGGAAAAAAAAAAACTGATAAACCCCTCACGTGCTTCATATCCGATTCATCTCTTGTTTCGTTCAATTATCAGTTATCCATCAGCATATCCCCGCTTACATACTTTCAGCAAGTCAGCTAATAGAGAGGTGGTTTTCCATTACAGAGAACAATGCCGACTACATGTCCTACAATATATCATCTGATTTCTATTCGTTCTCTGAAGATAGTGCATCAGAAGCAAAAGGTTCTCTAATAAGCCGATCTTGATTTCAAGAGCTATAATCCTCTGCATGCTAACATCAGTAATCAGGGACATGCTCTTACAGATGCCAAAAAGAAAGCAAGCATAAGCGAACTGCGCAGGTAGGTCGCTATAAACAAATAGAGGCATTCTAAATCAAATTTTGTAGGCTCAATTCAGCCAAACCATCTATCTGCATGCCAGTTAAATAGGGAATGATGAACATTTGAAAATATAACTTTTTATATGATAAATGAGAATATTAGCCGGTTCTATTTCTTGGATTAGTACAGCCCAATCACAGGAATTCTTCATTCTATTTTACCTTTCTTTCCAGGCAGCAAGTTTTTTGCAGCAGATCTTTAACTGCTCTGAATCTGCAAAAGACCTCAACTCTTTCCATGATAACCATGACAAAGCAATTTCTAGCTGTAACTGATAAAATGAGAAACAAAAACGGATAGCAGTTGCATGAAATGCAGATACTTTTCAGCATAAAAAGGCAGACCTCAGCATAGCAAAGCACATACTACAGTTACCGTCACAAAACAACTAGAGCACCAGTGAGAACTTAAAGTACTTAAAACTACAAGCAAACAACTTCTGCTGCAAACCCAGCTTATAACACCAGAGCATGGAGTGAATCATAGATGGGTCCTGTCATAAAACAAAAAGTAGATAGCTGTTCCATCAGTTTTTTTACTAACACACAATACTGCAGAAGCTCCTACCATCAACATCTGGAGAAAAAACAGAGGCAAGCATGCATCAATAGCGATCATCATAGGATGGACGGCCACCTTTGCTGGGCCGGTCATACGGCCCAGGCCTGTCACGATAGCCGCCGCCACCCCCCTCATATCTCGTTGGTCCACCAGACACATATCTATCACCACCACCTCGCGGCCCCACATCCCTGTCAAAGCTCCGCTCTTTGCTGTATCCATCATGCATAGATCTGTCGGGTCCATTGCCATATCTGCTACCAGAAAAGCGATCGCTAGCAGGAGGGTAATGGTCATTCACATAGCGATCACGGCCCCCACCACCACCACCACTGTACCTACTACTGTCCCTTCCATCAAGACGAGTCCGATCTCCATAACGGCCTCCATCATACCGATCATCCACATGACGATCGCTGTAGCGGTCTCCACCGCCAAATCTATCCCGGCCACCACCACCCCCATCACCACCTCTGCCAATTCTAGAGCGAGAAGAGAATTTTCCTCCACCTGCTCCACTAGATGGACATTCACGAGCCCAATGTCCTGGGCGTCCACACTTGAAACAATCAGAATGGACAGGTGGTGGTAGGTCATCAGAACCACCGCGATAACCTCCTCTACCACCAGAAGAGTAGCCACCACTGCCATAACCATAGCCTGGATCATCCGACCCCACCCTTGGCTCGGCTTTGTTTACTGATATTTGTCGACCGTTCAGCTCTTTATTGTGCATCTCACTAATAGCATCCTCCATCGCACGTCTGTCAACAAAAGTCACAAATCCAAACCCACGAGGCCGCCCTGTATCTCTTTCAACCATAATCTATGAAACAATATTACCATGAGGAGGAATAAAAGAAAAACCATTCAGTTGCAGATGAATGATGGGAATTGAGATCGCCGAGCAAGTATTAGAACAAAAAAATTCAGGGCAAATTCAATGTATGATATACATGACAAAAGTAGTATTTCCCAATAACTAAAGCGAAACCAACATACACTAAAATCGTGTGATAAAACATTAAACAAAAAACTAAATTCCAACACATCATTGATGCTTGTTGACAAAGGTCACGTTATCGATTTCAAAACTAAATTTATACAAGGATTATGGAGATTTCTGGGGGAAAAAACAATAATAAAAAACTTCAGGTGCGTTAATAATATCTATTTATCAAGATAGCTGTGTGATGATAGCGTTAGACCTACTACATAAGATATATGATTCCCAAAGGGTTGACACAATATAGAGCGATCCAAAAACACTTACAAACAGGCATTTCTTTTTTTATTGAAGCAAAAGAAGCCTCCATAACAGATTACAATCTCATGCAATTGGTCTAATTTGAAAAGTTGGCTACATACAAATGTTTAACCCAAAAGGACCAATATAAAATGCACCCAAGTTTCCCATCAATACAGCATTTAGGGATCAATACATGGTTACCCGACATTGTCAAACTTTTGAGTGAATGATCAAAAATAAAAGGAAGGTAGATCCAAAAAAATTCAAACAAAAAAGATAATAATAATGTTTACATTTGGCATTATCAAAAGATTTTATTGGTATGCCATCTTTGAAAGCTCTGAATTAATCAGTCCTTAAAAGTACCACAAATAGTAGTTCAAAAAATATCAAACATAAAATTATTAATTTAAACCCATAAAATAATATGATATCAAAAAATTGACATGGAAAATGCATTATCTTAAGCGATAACCACACAGAACTGAAGCAATATAGAGCTCGGGATATTAAACAAGTTTCACAAACCTTGTATGGCTGTGAAATCTGCTCTATGATCAAGGATGGAAAAAAATGCTTGGGATATTCCTCACCTAATCTTTTATTAGGATGGGTCTCAAAATTTGAAGATTCACTTAGATGTAAATGCAATACAAATTTACATTGATTTGCTGACGTATTGTACTCATCTTAAATACATCCAAATAATTTTGAAATCCATCACAACCAAGATTTAGTCAAAATAACAGTGAGCCAAAATTCTTCCTCAAAGATCATTAAAAGAGACCTATTTTCAGCCTATCTGGAGTTAGGGGTGCAAATGAGTCGACTCGGCTTGCTAATGAGCTCATGAGCTGAACTTATCAAGCTACTAGCTCAAGCTTGTCCTGGATCGGCTCGTTAGCTCGCGAGCCGTCTCTATTAACCTACCACTAGTTATTTCGATGCATTTCTGGTGAGCTCCCACTGCCTCCTCCTTCTTCGGCTGCCAATACCTTCTCAGGTAAGCTCTAGTGAAAATTGAGTCTTCAATTCGAGCTTGCAAGCTGGCTGCTACCAGAACGAGTCAAGCTCAACTTAAGCTCCAGCTTGAGCTCGAGCTCAAAGTTGCCAACCAAGCCGACCTTGAGCTTAGAATGGTTCGAACTCTACTCGACTCGTTTGCACCCCTTCTGCACTACATTCCTGCAGGCGATCCTTCAGTTTTATACCCATGCACAAATCAGTACTTTTAAATGCTAATGTTCAACAAACTGTTAAAGAACAATAATTAATCATAGTTTAAAATCCTGCAATTGAGTATTGAATTATTTTTTGTTTGTGAGGCAAGACAAGCTTGAGGCGTTTTGAGATGTAAACCTTCAGAAAAAATACTAAGTCAAAATATAGCCAAAAATTAATAAATTAACATCACAACTTATAAATATATTTCACATCCTAGTATATTAAGGAGTGACTATTTGTGCTTTTATCAAATAACAATTTATGTAAAACACAAAATATCATATAAGAAACCACAATAAATTTTAGTGTAATACAGAATATAAGATATCAAATGAAGTAACATAAAAAATATCAAAGTGATACATACAATAAGTTTAACGTAGTAGATTTATCCCACTCCTACTGTTTAACACAATAACATCCAAAGGTTTGAATAAATATAATAAACAACCAAAATCCCTCAAAATTCTCATTACTCGGGAGCTCTTCACTGGAGTCATCATTATAATGAATAGTTTTCTCTCGTGCCTCTTCATCTATTGAGTTTAAGTTCTTTAATTATTGATCACTTCTTCAATCTCAATATCATTCTCTTTCACAATTAGCAATAATAAATAAAAATTAAAGAATATTAAATAAAGTTTAAAATAATTTTAAATACTTAATTTTTTTATGAATACTTCATTGGAGTCATCGTCATAATAATCGTTTTCTCCCATGTCTCTTCATCAATTGAGTCTAGGTTCTCTCATTATCCATCTCTTCAATTAGGTATTCCACAAATCCTTTTAACATCCACTTTACTAGTTTCACTTCAAATAAACATACCTTGTTACCTTCAATGTCGACTTGTGAGCTGTCATGTATCAGTTCTTTCTGATGCCTCATTGTGAATTCCTCTTTGCCTCTAATCATATTTCCTAAATCCTAGGAAAAAATTTGCATTTAAAAAATTTTAACTATATTCAAAAAATAAAATAAAATTAGAAATTAAATCAGGCTTGAGAAAGAAGATAATGTTATGGAATGATCACCAAAAGTAAAAAATTAAGGATGAAATGACAACTACAGGTGTAAAGAAGATCAATGGTGGCTTAAAACACGGTCGGCATCGGCCAGGGCAGCAAGAAGGGAAGATAGAGGGGCTATGGTTGGAAGAGGGATGTGGGCGGCCGTTGAAAGCAAGGGAATGGTAACAACGGTTAGTGCAAGAAAGCACGACAACGACTGGGGATACAAGGACGGATGGCAATAGCTGAGTCTGCATACAAGGACGATGGCGATGGGGGCCGCAAGGATGGTTATGACAACGTCAACATCACAGAAGGCAAACGACGAAATCACAGAAGGCCAACGACGAAGTCACAAAAGGCCTACGATGATATCAAGGTTTAGAGTTTAGGGTTTAGGGTAAACCATAATGACATCACAGAAGATTGACGATAACAGAGATCGAAGAGGATGACATTTTTTCACTTAAAATGAGTAGGCCAAGGAAGGGTTGCAAGCCGTGAGTGCATGAGGGTCACATGAGTAATGACCACATGATGTATAAGAAATTTATTAAAAAAACACTATTGATTGGGCTTTATAGATAGTGAGGCAAAGCATGTCTTGGTGGTGGTGTAGCGTACAACGCACTAAATTTTGAAGCCTCGTTATGATTTGGCTAAAAAGAGCAATGAGTCTCACATCATATTGTGAAATTTGAAACAAGCAATTAAATTTTATCTGACAAATCATGTTTTTGATACAAAACATTAACAAATCTCAGTGATAAGATAAAAAGGTACCCTTAACATTAGGGAAATAATTCAATCAACATATAGGTTACAATGTGGTGGAATGCCTAAGGCTTCATAAAATGTTTTGATGGGGGACAACTATCTTTGTCCATGGAAAATCACCAAGTGCTACAAACTCCAAAGTTTTAGTCATTGTGTGAAGCTCTCTCTGAAGCATAATCTACTTTTGTGAATCCAAACACAAAAAGACTAGGAGTGATGAAGTGTATGGAAATGCCTACATAAAGAGAGCAATTCCTCGATCACTAACTCATATAGAGGTGAAAACGAGCCAAGCTTAAGTGAGCCCAAAGTTTGTGCGTGATCGATTCGTCTGAAAATGTCTTTATTTGAAATGAGAACATGTTTGAAGTGGCAAGTACATTATCCTATTTGTGTTCGACTTGATTCAATTCGAATTTATTTGAATTAGCCCGTTTTATGTTGAATTTTACCTACACTTGAGCTTGCATATTTTATTCATTTCGGCTCGAAATAAAATTTTAATTTGAAGATATTTCTAAAAGATTAGGAAATACAATACATCACATTCCCAATTCAATATTGCGTGCAGATGAAAACTGTATTTTTCGTTTTCATTTTTTTTTTACATTTAAATAGCATTCCTAATTGAAATTCCTCCCTATGTAGGCAAAGAGGGACCTAATAGACTGAAACCGGGCATGGGCGGGCAGGGTAAAATTCTAGGTTCATTTACATGCATACCAATACTTATGTATTTACATATATGATCAATGTAGAATAGACGAGGGGCAAGCAACAGGGGCGGGATTTTTTGGAAAATCCTCATGGCATTTACATGCATACCACCCAACTCTTCATGTACTACATATACAAACTTTAAAATAGAAAAACGCAATGTGGGACCCGACTGCTCTATTTTTGGGACATTTACATACATAGCACTCAAATCCTATTTATTTACATATCTAACACCCCAACTTATATTTTTTTATAATTATACCACACAAAAAATTTAAAAAAACATTAAATTTATATTTTTAATACATATAAAAATTAATATAAAATGATATAAATAAATAATATTATTTAATTATTTTGAGGCAAAAAAAACAAAAATTAATGAACAAACATTTGTTCATATTCAATTCATTTATAAATAGAGTTCAAAAAAATTATTCATGTTCAACTCGCTTGTTTAACAAAAGAATAGAATAAGAAGAGCTTTTTTGACAACCCTAAGCACAGACCATGATAAGTCTCGACAATGATGGTGAAGAAAAATATAATTGTTAGATCAAATGGAGACATCTCTGCAAAATTTTAATGAAAATCAACCTAAACATGAGAATATAATGAATAATACTTTAGCATTTTATTACAATTGCAAAATAGAATGAACTATTTTGCAAATGGAGGATACGTACAATGTTTTATTTGTAAATTTTGAAAAACAAAAGAGCATGACTGAGTGTTAAAAGTAAAAACATATGAACATAATTGTAATAAAATAGTAAATAAGGACAATCCCCTTATAATTTTTTTATTAAAATGCTTAGAAGAAGAAAGCTCAAAGCTCTTAATATATGCTAGAGCTCAAACTTCAAAATCTCAATTAATAGTAATTTTGCAATGTGAAATTAGACAATATCAAGGTAAAAAAACACAATTATTTTAGCAAGCTTTCTTCGATGAATGCAAGAGAAAAAAACCTGTGCATTATATATGTCCAACAAAGAATAAAATTATGAACTGTTTCCCATGATTGAAAGCAGATGTCACCTAAACTGGAAATTTCTACTCAACTGGCCAATTTGAAGACTGACTGCAAAGCTCAATTCAGCAAGAAAGTGAAGCTTATATCCGCTTGTGGGTGATGCCAATATCTTTAAAACCATTACTGCAGTAAAATTAACATCGCAACTTCTATTTCATCCGTCCTTAATTAAGCCATCTTCCAGTATGATACTGCCCACTTTGTAAGTCGGATGCTTTTACCCAATTTTACAAGATTATCGCTCCTGGTCGAAATATTGCCCATTGCAGTAGTCAGAAGTTATGCAGCTACACAGCATCAAGAAGCACTAATCATGTCCATGAAGACATTTAGAAGCATCTGAAATTCAACTGTTTCCTATATGTCAACCTTTTAAGTATATCCACCGCTGAACTAGAAATTTGTGTCAATTGAACCATGATGACATCGACCAACAACTCAAACAACTATTTTTTAACATTATCAGGAGATGATTACTAAACAGCTGAAAAAGTTGAGTGAACCAAAAGCGAACACTGACAGATAAAACATCCAATCAGCAGCAAAATCAATCACTGAGTTGTCATTCTTAGTAAAAGAAAATATCAGAAAAATACTTTCTATCAATTTCTCCTCACAGAATAGCCTAACCAATCAATATAAGTACAAAGAAGCAGAAAAATCGCACCAAAAATCTTTATAGTATCGTTGAAGTGACTCGTCAAACTACCACAGATCTCTGAGCAGGAGTTAATGCCAAAACTAGCAGAAACTGCCTCTGACTGAATTAAGGAAAAATGCATACCAATCGTTGCAAAGAACAAGGTCTTGTAAACCGACCAAACAGCCAAATGAATGACAATGCACTTTACAAATCAAACATTTACTCAATTTCTGCTGAGACATTAGAGCTTGTTCCAAAGGGAGATATTGGGTCACAATTTACCAGGTTATCACAAGACAAAAAGTGCCTCACGACAAGCAGAAAAAGTAAAACAAATTAGAATTCTAGTGATTGGGCCTGACCAAACCTACAGGCCACAAAAGAAGACTAACAAGTGGCCTATGAAATGCAAGTCTGCTCCAAAGGACCAATATCAACAAAATTAATGAAAGTGCAGAAAATGTTACGTTTGCCACAACCACGAGCAAGGTTCACAAAATTCTGCTTTGACAGGGTAAGCTTCCAATAAAGATATCAACCCTCACAGCATAAGTTCACCTAAATCAACTGTCATGGACCATAGAAAAGTCCATGTGCAGGATCAAACTAGGATTAATAACTGGAACAGTCAAAACTAACAAATATTCAAAGTTTGAAGCTGACGTAATTGTAAAAAAATTACAACAGATATCTGAGGTCACTCTCAAGAAAACACAGTGTGATCTGACTTTGGATGTGATTTCATGGCTAACCAAACAAACCAAAACTACAATAATCATTTGTGTCAACCGAAACCAACCACAGTGATTCATTAAGCATTTAGATATGCATTGGCAATTGGCTGTCACTGAACCGACAAGAAGCAAAATGGAGAATTAACCATATAGCTCATCCTCAACAAACCATCTCAGTTAAAAGAATAAGTAAACAATTATTTGTAAGGAGGAGCTTTATATTTCCAAGCACTGCCGCAATAAAGCAGCGTAATGGTTGACTGTATCTGCCGACACATGCTGACACTCTGTGAGCAAAATAGCTTCATGCTTCGCACTCATCCTTCTTGAAAGCACTACTAACCATCAGAGAATTTATCATATTTGCCCAAGAAACACAGAAAAGGGTTCACAAGTAAACGAGCTGCTGTATAGTTAATTGTCTATGAAACAAAGCTAAACATATCGTGTAATGTGGAGTAAAGCTATTTTATGATACTATGTGGGATCTAATTGAAAAATGCCTTCTTCAGATCAATGATAAAGAACATTTTCTAAAGGCATTCAAACTTAATCCAGAACATCAGAAACCCAGCCATAACAATACAAGCATCACTGGCCAAAAATAAGTCCGAAGGTCAAAGTGTTGAGATGAGAAAGAGCTAGGCAGATGCACTCAACATGGCAAAATAACAACATCTAACCAAATTTCAGCGCTCAAATGCAAAAAAATATCAGCAGAAACATGAGTTTTGTCCATTTATAATTGATGATCCAAACTGCTTTTCTGCACAACCACATTTTGTGAATATCAAATATCATTGGCAGCATCAGAATACAACTCTCCTTGAGAAGAAATTGTCAGAATATTGTGGGGCTAGCTCATATGCCAAAGCATCCCAGGAGAAAATTCTAGTTTGTAAAATAATAACAGCATAAATAAATTTTATTAGCAAAGGTGAAACAAATAAAAAAAATTAAGACGTTCATGCATGAAATGAGCGTTTGGTTAAAAAAGGCTTCAGATTAATCATATAAAATTTCCTACAATAAAAACAACCCCATGAATATAGACCAATACATAGACGTATTTAGGTAGTGCAACAACAAAGCTTAGGGTGAAATATATCATGCGCGTCCAATATAATCCCCAAAACAATGAAGGAAGGATAAGCACCGAAGATCATTCTATCACATAAAAGTAAACCTCTCCAGTTTGCTCGAAGGGTTTTTAACCCCGTTAAATTCCAAAAGAGGTTGATAAAAACAATCCAAAAATAAAATAAATTCCCCAAAGCAAGCTCTATGATTAGCAGAATTGAAAGAAATAACTCCTTTCATAAACTAATTGAAGTCAAGGTGTTAGATATGCAAATACATAAGGAGTACAATCTGGTATATACGTAAATCCGCCCAAAAAATAAATGAATCCTCAGTTATAAAAAATCCATATAACTCAAAGAAAGAAGCCCCGTTTAAAAAACCATCAAATTCATCAAACATTACCTGCGAGTCCAGAACCTTGCCGAATCGGCTAAACGCAGCACCGAGCTCCCGTTCCGTGGTTTCCCATGACAAACCTCCAACAAAGATACGCGCACCCTCCTTGCCAGACATCGCTGTAACTATCTGGAACGGAGACAAGCGAACTGATGAGGATAGAACAATAAACTACGAATAAAATAAGCTAGTTAACGATAGATGGAAAACCTCTCGAAATGGTGAAGGATCGAAAGCGCAGAAGGTAGAGAAAGAGAAGAAATGCTGCGGCTGAGACGGTAGCCTTCCAGAAGAGAAGCCGTTCGGGGAGCCTGGTAACTAAAACCCTAGCTATGTACCCCGCACGAGCCTATTTATAGCCGGATTTGGGAGGTTTATAATGAAGGATTAATAAATCCTGAAAACTCACTTGTAATGAATTATACTTATCATGAAAGACCATACCAATTTTTGAGGTCATTGAAATTATTATTCATATTTTAAACTTAATTTGACATATTTGAAATACAACATAATCCCTATAATGAACTCTAGTCTAACTTGAATAATCAAAAGCTAAATTTTACAACCATTTTGTCTCTAATTGATGCACCCACCGCACAAATATGAGATTGTAATTGAGAAAAACCTTATTTGGTTCATCACACTTAGGAGATATTCGCAATGATGTCTTAGAAGATGTTGCACATTATAATTTACTAAAATCATATCTTGCCCCCAAAAAGCCTATTTAAATATTCATATTGAAACTTACAAAATCACAACCACCAACAATCAAACTCCAAATTTAATAAATTTATATTTATATTGCAAGACTATGAGACAAATCCATTGGCATCAAAAGCAACACAATCCAACAACATACAAGCTCAAATCACACATAAAGCACAATTGGAATTTTTAGGATATTAGTTAAAGGATTAATTAATCTTTAGATTTTGTATTTTTATTTACAAATTGAGCGTCTCAATGAAATAAAATTAAAGGACTTGAAATTATGTGGTTTCAATATCATTAAATAGTTAAAATATTAATAACTTATTTTATAATCAATCAAAATTTAGCTGTATTTACAAAATATCCAGCTCCGAAAAAATTATAAATATAGATGAAAGAGAGCTTAAATGTTTGATGAATGTCAAAGCTTCGCAGTGACATCCCACCATCTTTGAATTGCAGTCGCCGCCTCCTAATTATTGCATTTTGACTACCAATGTTGGCTTATTATCGTCATTAGACTACAACCACCCAATCACCGTCCTAAGTCCATCGTTATCCCACCACCACTATTCGATTGCCATCAGCCCCCCATCATCTGTCTTACTACTAAATTTAACATACATACCGCATAATTTTATGTATTTATAAATTTAACATTTACACTTTTATATTTATAATATAACACAACACACGTCTCTGACATCACATCAAAATTATTACGGTTGTTTTTTCTTAATAAAATAAATATTTTCATGCATAAATTTATGATACTAAATGTAAGAAATATAAATACATAAAGACTTATATGGTATCTATTTCATAATTAATAATATCATGCAATTAATTTTTCATGAATTGAATTTATGGTATTTAATAAATTTAAATATATTTCTTATTTTATAAGTAATTTAAGTAAAATCATACTTATATCAATTCATTTAAGATTTGTTTAATTTGCATAATTATTATCCACATTTGTGTGTATATATTTAAGATATAATATCATAATGATATATCCCATATAAATGTCATATACTTAAAATAATCAAAGTAACATGCCTACAATCAAACCATAACAAAATCAACAACATCAAGAGAACAAAACCATCAATGTTTTATTAATTAATTTTCATTATTTTATTCTTTTAGTCTATCATTAAAACTGAAGATAAAATATTTGACATAAGCTTAGTAAAATAATAATAATACTTCTAATAAAAAGCAGCTAAAATAAGAAAATTCATATCAGCTGCCTCAAAAACGACGACAATAAAGCGAAAAATGGAACGAGAAAAATTGCACACAGAAAAATACTAGCAACACACAGATTTACATGGTTCGGCAAATTTGCCTATATCCACGGAGCTGCAGAGGATTTTACTACTTCGAGGAATTACACCGTCGAACACCTTTACGTTTACAAGAAAATCTCTATTTTCTTCTCTCTCTTCCTCTCACTCTCTCTTCTTCTATTTCTCTTAGCTCTCAAGATGATTTAGTTTGGTCTTGTTTGGCTTGCATTTCCTTTAAACCAAAAGAGACTATTTATAGAAACCATGAGAGCGGTAGGTGAGAGGTAGGGGAGCGGTAGGTGGGATGTGGTAGGTGAGCGGTAGGTGGGTGTGGTAGGCGAGCGATAGGTGTAATACTTAATTAAGAAGCTAATTAAATTCGGTGGACCGAGTCTCCACATTACCCAACAATTCTCCCACTTGAAGACTGGGACACTGAATGCATCACCTACTAGCTGCATCATCTACTAGTTGTACCGATTTTTTCCTCAAACATGATATCATCCATCTCTGTAACTCGAAGCCCTCGTCTTCATGTCAGAAGACCAGTTGAAGTTGAGCACAACTTCAGCTTCTCACGAGTAACACCCTCAGTTGACATATCACCGTCAACGTAGTCTCGTACCACCAAACTCTTTCATGGGTTACTCTTGTATCTGCTTGCAAATTCCACTGCATAAGCAATATCCTGCCCCTGCTGAAAGCTCTTTTCAACAAGTTCAGCCTTGTACCTCTTACTGCCACCAAACACAGTCTTCACCCGGTACACCCACTAGTTGTGTAATGTCTTCTTCCTTGATATAAGTTTTGCCAGCTCCCAAGTCTGATTCCCTAATAAAAAATCTGTCTCCTCCTACTTGGTCAGCTCTCACTTGCTCGAATTCTCACGAATTCTCATCTTGCAAGATTTATTCATAACTCTATGGTTCTCCACCATTTGTCTGTACAATTTCCGGTTTTCTTGCCCTTGGCGCTCTACTACTTTTCAGGAAATTGACGTTCTACTGCTTCCCCATAATGCACCTCTGACTCATGTGTCCTCGCTTTAGTAAATCTGTAGTCATATATAGTGTGTCAGTTTTCTTACCCTGAGCCAGTACTAATGCTCTTTTGGTAACCTTCTAGGTGTTATCTAAGAACACTACCGAATGACAACCCTCATTGAGCTGCCCAACAGAGATGGGTTTTTCTTTAACTCAGGAACCTATCTGGCCTTTTGCAAAGTCCATTTGCTCTTGTTAGGGAGTGCAATATCAACGTCTCTCATTCTCACCATATTCAGAGCTTTTTCATCAGCCAGATATACTTTCTCAAAGTTACCTGCAACATAATTTCGCATTAACTCGCGCCTGGAAGATATATGGAAGGAAGCCCCTGAATTTCATATTCAGTCATCAACAGAACTGTAAATTGCCAGAAATAGTGCATCCTATATTTCTTCAATTACAACATTAGCGCCATCATTCTCCTTCTTCTTAGGATTCTTACAGTTCTTTTCTATGTGGCCAGCCTTGCCATAATTCCAGCAGGTTGTTTGTTGACTTGACTTTGATTTTGATCTTCCACGGTTTGAGTTTCTATCTTGTGTTCTTCCTCTTAAATCAACAATCAGTGTCGAACTTGAATCCGAGGTCTTACTAGAATCTTTCATGTGCACCTCATCAACCAGAATCAACTCACGAATACCATCATATTTCAGCTTAGATTTACCTGCAAAACTGCTAATTGCCATCTTCATAGTTTTTCCAACTACTTGACAATGAAGCCAACAATATCAGCGCATGTATCTCATCATCAAAATCAATTCAACAGACGATAACTGATTTGTGATAGTGTTGAAATCATTTAGGTGTTGAGCAACAAACACACATTCCGTCACCTTCAAGTTGAATAACTTTTTTATTAGATGCACCTTGCTATTCGTCGATGGCTTTTCATACATACATGATAAAGCCGCAATGAGATTTGCAGTAGTCCTCTTATTGATGACGTTATGGGCAACCAATCTCGATAGGGTTAATCGTATAACCCCTAGAACCTATCGATGAAACAAATTTCATTCTGCCTCATCTATCTTTTCTGGTCGCTTTCCCAATAACGGAAGATGAAATTTCTTCTCATAGAGGTAGTCCTCTATCTGCATCCTCCAGTAAGCAAAATCTATGTCATTGAACTTTTCGATCCCCGATATCATCACTTTGCCTCTGCCCATCGTTCTCCTTAGATTTGAACCCACTGTTTTGATACCAGTTGTTGTGAAAAATGACGACAATAAAACAAAAAATGGAATGAGAAAAATTGCACGCAGAAAAAACACCAGAGCGACCCACAGATTTACGTGGTTTGGTAAATTTGCCTACATCCACGGAGCTGCAGAAAATTTTACTACTTCGAGGAATTATATCGTCGAACGCTCGACGTTTACAAGAAAATCTCTATTTTCTTCTCTCCCTTCCTCTCACTCTCTCTTCCTCTCTTTCTCTTAGCTCTCAAGATGAATTAGTTTGGTCTTGCTTGGCTTGCATTTACTTTAAATCAAAAGAGACTATTTATAGAAACCATGAGAGCGGTAGGTGGGAGGTAGGTGAGAGGTAGGTGGGTGCGGTAGCTGAGCAATAAGTGAGATACTTAATTAAGAAGCTAATTAAATTCGGTGAACCGGGTCTCCACATTACCCAACAATCTCCATTACAGAAACTCAACAAATCTCATTATATTGACTATGGTATGAACGATGAAGACCGACGCGCATCAAAAACTGGTTGAGCCATTGGATCCAAGCCGAATCATTAGTTTGGATATCACTTGACATCAAAGTTAGGATATATACACCAATATTCAAATAATTTTTTAACCCATAAGCTCATAAGCAAAAACAAACTACATGATATTTCTATACCAACATATCTTTCAACAATTCACACGTGTCAAAATAATCCACTCACTATGTACATGTGGCCATTTTAATCTCAAAGTTTATAAAAATATTATATTAGTCATCGTACTCTTTTAATATGGGTTGAAATAATCACACCAAGGACTATTTCCACAAATATTAAAAGAGTATGGGGAAATTGATATTTTCATAGTTTTTGCAACTCAAATTGCCCCATTTAAAAAGTCACACTAACATTTTGGCATATTTCTCAATAATCAAACCATAAATCATTAGGATCAGCTTCATTTCCTTCACTACAAGCAGAGAGAGAGAGAGAGAGAGAGAGAGAGAGAGAGAGAGAGAGAGAGAGAGAGAGAGAGAGAGAGAGAGAGAGAGAGAGAGAGAGAGAGAGAGAGAGAGAGAGAGAGAGAGAGAGAGAGAGAGAGAGAGAGAGAGAGAGAGGAAAGGCATCAACTTGACTTTCTAGTAAAGAATAAAGGCAAGCAGCATAAATGGAGAATCCACAGACTTTATAATTGGGAAAGGGAGAATCGTTTGCTTCTACCACCAACTTCTCAGATAAAAATTTGAACTTGCAGTGCAGGTAAAGGCAGATCTAATTTTCATTCAGGGCTCATCAACTCTTTTCTCACTCATTACAGGTAAGCCATACCACTAAATGTTGTTCTCTGAAAAATATTTCCAGCTGTTTTCTTTAGTCCATCTCATCCCCTTGTAACTACAAGCAAGCAGAAAAGTTGCAGCTCTCAAGCATCATGCATATACTATAGTTTTCCCACAGGTATTTTCTATAATTTCTCGGTACGAATGTAAATTACAGAGATCAGAAAGATAGAGCAAGTTCTTTTTGTTTGCAAAATCATGATGTAATCAAACCATGTTGATGGCCTCTCTATATGACTTGCATATGGCGAAGATAAATTTGTCTAAAAGTTCTCAGATTCAAAATCAATGATGATTATAGGTTTTGAATTAGAATTTGGGTTTTAGAACTTCTGTTAATCACATAAGCTGATAAATAAATTCGGACATCTGAACATGAACGACTAGATGCATATTAGACCTATAAAATTTTGGAAGCATTACATACATACCGCTTAATTCCTATGTATTGACATATCTAAAACCAAAACTATATATGCATAAATAGTGGTATTTAAATGTGAAATGAAAGATTTGGGCGGTATAAATGTAAAAAAGTGAAGTTTAGGTGCTACATATGTAAATAAATAAGGATTGGGTGGCATGTATGTAAATGCCCCTCAGAAATCATTTACCATGTTAGAAATGTAAAAACTAACAGTTTCTTTCCTATTTCAACTTACATTTGCTTATAATTACCTAGGATTATTACAGGGGAAAAAAAAATCAATCAAAATAACTTGATCCAAATCTACACATGAGCTAAGAGCAATATATTTTCAAGCAATCACAAATCTAATTTTCCATCACTCATCCATTTACCCATCAAAGGAACCTTAGAAATCTGAATAAACTAAAAAAGTATAGGACTAGAACAGCAGTTATGTATGGGTGATTAAGGATTTTACAAAACATTCTATCAAAACAATTTTAATTTTTTGCATTTATTTTTCATCAATAATATTCTTATGAACAACTTGAACATTAGCTTGTGCAGCTTCATAAAAAAAAACAGACTATAAAGACAATAAAGGGCCAAATGAGCTACTTGGAGAACCTCAGTGATGGCGAATATGAAACTGTTGTCGCAGCAACTGCCTACGCCATCACCTCTCTGGAAGAGGAAGAAGACTCATTTAAACAGAAGAAAACAGTTGAAGGATTGACCCGAACCAAAACCAAACTCGAAGAAAGAACAGCTAGAAAAAGTTTCAACTGGTCCTTCAAATGGCTCAGCGGTGAAGAAGTAAAACAGGAAGAGAAACAGAAAGGTTAATAATCATAGCAATCGTCTTTACTTTCAAAAGCAACTTCCATCTCACACAATTTCAATTTCTCAAGCTGAAATATTGCATAAATTCTGCCACTTGAATTTCACATTTAAGTGCCACTATTTGTAATTGTAGGTAAATTTGCATGTCAAAATCAATACAGCTAAGTGCATAATATAATTCCAATATTTGCATTACAATGCATGTTTATTAAATTAATCAGTGTGAAAAAGTTCTAACTTTTAAGTGGTCGGCAATGCTGTGTGGCCAGAAAAAGATAAAGTTGAAAAGTCGGCAAGAGAAAAGTACGGTAGTAGGTACACTGATGCTGGAGAAGAATCAGATGCCTCCCCAACTCTTATAAAGACGCCAACTTTCACAAAGAGGGTTCAAAGCGGAAAAGAAGCTACGGTGAGAACAAAAGCAACATCCACAAAAAAGCCTGCAGAGCTTGATAAAATAGAAACAGAAGCAGATGCCTGGGAGAAGGCTGAGATGATTAAAGCTAAGAATAGGTTATATTATTAACTCAGAATAAACTAAAAAGATTTTATCTTGAACATTTGTTAAAGCTTGTCTAGTTTCAGGTATGAGAAGATGATGTCTGTGATATCAGAGTGGCAGACAGAAAAGAAAACCAAAGCGAAGCGCCGAATGGAAAGGAAGCAGGTTTTGCATCAACCACCTTGTTAAATTTACATATGATAATTAATCACTGTTTCAGTCAGAAAGCTTTCAAAAAGTCATTTTTCATTCAATAATCTAATGCAAATTACCAATACTCAACTTTACGGCAGCTAACTTCATCATAAGATGTTAAACAATCTTAGAGGATGGTTAGGGAGATTTTTTCAGCAACCGAAATAGCCTTGGAGAAATATTTCATACTTGAGGACTTCCAACCAAATGAGCCGAGCTGCTAGCTGGATTTTTGTGCTGTGCGGAAGGATTATGGTTTTCCGTTGAGCGTGCTAGAAAATTCGCGGCGGTAGAGTAATGGATTATCGTCTTAACAAAGATTCAACACATACTCAGATAAAAATGAATCAAGCTGTGATAACACAAGAAGTTTTTACGTGGAAAACCCGTAAAGTGAAAAAACCACAGGGTCTGACCCAGTTGTAAAAATCCACTATAAGTTAATGATTACAGATGTCCATTGTCCCACAAGCGGGAAAGAGTTACTAGTTTTCTAAGTTACAAGGTCGACTGACGAAGTCTACTCAGCGGTGGTCGACGGAGGTCGGCGATGATCGACGGTGATCGACGGTAATCGATGATGGTCAGCGGTGGTCGATGGAGGTCAGCGGTGGTTGATGACAGTCGATAATGGTCGGCGGTGGTCGACAAAGGTCAGCGGTGATTAACGGTGGCCGACAGTGGTTGACAGAGGTCGGCGATGATGCTCGACGGTCAGTTGTGGTCGACGGCGATCGACGATGGCAGAGATGATCTTGGACTTTAGCTCCTTCTCAAAGCCTCAAGTTCTCTCTTAAGAATCCTTCTTTCATGTGAGAGGTGAGACTCTATTTATAGAGTTTTGAGTGTAATTAATGCAGGAATATGAACCATTTTAATCGGACGGTCCAGAGAGCTTCCCTTGATCATATGACGTTTGATGGACATTTGAATGCCTTAACGATGTTGGAATTAACCAATCTTGGGCTCATTAGATTCGTCTTGTCATTCTTATCGAAACACTCGATTCGACTATAAACTCACTAGATTCAACATTTGTTTGACCTTTCAAATGTCTCCGGAAATCCTCCAAGGGTGGTTTAATGATTTAACCTGGACTTGATTTGACTCGGATTGGACTGACTTTTATATCATTAGGTCCGTCTCATCAAGCCGATCAATTTAACTATAAGTTTGCTGAAATCGGAGTTTTGGATGGCTCTTAATCAAAGTTTGAATGTTTCTTGTTTAAACAATTGCACCGAGATTCGTGTTGGCTGATGAAAATTTGTTGGTAACGTATCAGTTGCCCCCTTATTTTCAGGCGAAACTATTTTTTTTCTTCCGAAAATATTAAAATCTATAGACTTTTCATTTTTGTAATGCATAAAAACTTTAGATATATATACTTTATTACAATCAATATACAAATAAAATTATTATTTATTCTGAATAGAATAATAAATTAAGCCCAGCTCAGTTGGTAGTTCATTATGAATGATATTATCTGGAATGACAGGAAGATGTGGCGATGTCGGGTGAGCTGCACGAGATGAATGAGTGAAACTTGCTGTATCTAGGAGTTCAGCATCACAACATGACAGGGGATGTGTTCCTTCTTGAGGAGGCGAGTCGGCATGAGTTCCTCCGAGCGGTATGTTTCTCGTACGTCGCGGAGTTAATGGTAAACGAATTTCATCCAATGGTGTAGGCAGCGGCTGTTGAGCCCCGCGTAGGAGCTGCAGGATCTCTAGTTGAGACTCCTCCAATCTACGCATTCGATTTCAATAGGACCCGAAACACCTTCGTTGGCGGGATATCGTCTTCCAGGGCGGGAAGATGAAGAAGCATGCTGCCCTTGGCTTCGTGACTGCTCCCTGGAAAGATAGGTGTTGGAGCGGGATACTTCATTATCACGAACATTGTGTCTAGTGGTCATGTAGTAAACTGCGTAAGTATTTTAGTTGTGGGATTGAAACTTTTTCACATACGACGTCAAACTGATGTGTGCTAGAAAATTCGTTGCGATAGAGTAATGGATTATCGCCTTAGCGGTATGCGAGAATTCAACACACATTTAGATGAAAATGAATCAAGCTGTGATAATACCAGAAATTTTTACGGGGAAAACCCGTAAAGGGAAAAAACCACGGGGTCTGACCAGTTGTAAAAATCTACTATAAGTTGATGATTACATGTGCCCCTTGTCCCACAGGTGGGAAAGGGTTACTAGTTTTCTAAGTTACAACGTCGACTGACGACGTCTAGTCAGCGGTGGTCGACGGAATTCGGCGGTGATCGACGGTGATTGACGATAATCGATGACGATCAGCGGTGGTCGATGGAGGTCAGCGGTGATCGATGGTGATTAACGATGGTCGGCGGTGGTTGACAGAGGTCGACGGTCAATGGTAGTCAACGGGGATCGACGATGGCAGGGATAAACTTGGACTTGAGCTCCTTCTCGAAGCCTCAAGTTCTCTCTCAAGCCTCATTCTTTCATGTGAGAGGTGAGACTCTATTTATAGTGTTTTGAGTGCAATTAATACAGGAATATGAACCATTTTGATCGGACGGTCCGAAGAGCTTCCCTTGATCAGATGACGTTTGATGGACATTTGAGTGTCTTAACGATGTTGGAATTGACCAATATTGGGCTCATTGGATTTGTCTTATCGAGATGCTCGATTTGACTATGAACTCACTATATTCGACATTTGTTTGACATTTCAAAAGCATCTGAAAATCCTCCAAGAGTGGTTTAATGATTTGATCTGAGATTGATTTAACTCGGATTGGACTGACTTTTATATCATTAGGTCTATCTTATCAAGCCCCTTTCTTACCAAGCCGATTAGTTTGACTATAAGTTTGCTGAAATTGAAGCTCTAGATGACTCTTAATCGACGTTTGAATGTTTCTTGTTTAAAAAATTACACCGAGATTCGTGCTGGCTGATGAAAATTTATTGGTGACGTATCAAGTAGTGCTCGTGAAACCGAGAAGAAAGGATCTCGGGCAAACGTGCGGTTAAGGTTATGGCTCGCGTGCTATAGAAAATGAAGGAGAAGGCGAGGAGGCCTCGTACGGAGCAGGGCAGTGAAGCTGCAGGCTGGTTTGTGAGCTTGTATGCTGGTTTTTGAGCTTATAGGTTTTAAGGGCTGATTTATGCTCGAGGCAGGAAGTAATAAGCAAACTTCTAATTGAGGATGTGTAAGAGAAGAAAATAATGCACGTATAATAATTAAAATTTCATTGAAAGAGAAAAAATAATAATATTAATATATATATATGTATAACAGCTTTGGAGTGAAAATTTGTTTCTTATTACTAATTCAATTCAAGGTGTCTTTACATATAGGAGTCCCTCCTCCTCAGATAAGGAAACTAACTAAATATGTTTCAATTATTTTCTATTACATTACAAGACTAATTAAGCAAAATTTGGTACATATATCAAATAATATAAATAAGGAAGGAGAATAAAATTTGTATAAGAGGAAAGATAATAAATCCTGTGATTTGAATTAGATATTTCAACACTCCCCCTCAAGTTGTCATGAAGATATCTTTTAGAGTCAGCTTGCACACTAAACCGTCAAACTATTTTTTGTGAAGACTCTTTGTTAGAATATACGTTGTTTGGTCGATAGAGGGAACATACACCATGCATATATCTCCTCTGTCAATTTTTTCTTTGATGGAGTGATTGTCTATCTCTATGTGCTTTGTTTTATCATGAAAGACAGGATTGTGGGCGATGGCGATGACAAACTTATTATCAAAGTACACCTTTATTGGTGGCGGACTATGAATTTTTAACTCTTTGAGAATTCTTCGAATCCATAGAACTTCACATATTCCATGAGTCATAGATTTGAATTCAGCTTCAGCGCTGCTTCTCGCCACAACACTTTGCTTCTTGCTCCTGCAGGTTACTAAGTTCCCTCTTAGAAAAGTACAATACCCTGAGGTTGACCTTCTATTTGTAACACTCCCAGCCTAATCTGCATCTGTAAATGCTTCTACCTGTAAGTGCTCATTTTTTTGAACAGTAGTCCTCTTCCGAACGTTCCTTTCATATATCTAAAGATCCGATAGACAACCTCCAACTGATGAGTAATTGGAGAATGCATAAACTGACTTACCATGCTAACAACAAAGACTATATCATGAAGAGTGTGTGACAAATAGATTAGTCTTCCCACCAGTCTCTGATATTGTTTTTTATTGACACCATCGATTTTATTTGTTACTTGCAACCTTTTATTTGGTTCAATCGGAGTTTCAGCTGGTTTGCACCCAAGCATTCTGGGTTCACTGAGTAAGTAGAGTACATACTTTCGCTGATTAATAAAGATCCCCTCCTTAGATCTGACAAACTCAATACCAAGAAAGTACTTCACATCTCCCATATTTTTAATCTCAAATTCGGTGGTTAGTCTTTCTTTTAATTTCTCAATTTCCCTGACATCATCTCCTGTAAGGATAATATCATCGACATAGACAATGAGTATAGAGAGTTTACCAGTTTCTGAATGTTTGTTCAGTTTCTGAATGTTTGTAGAACATAGTATGATCAGCTTGACTCTGAGTGTATTCATATTTTGTAAACACCTTTCCAAACCTCTCAAACCAGGCGCAAGGAGATTGCTTGAGCCCATACAAGGACTTCTTCAATCTGTACACTGTCTTCTCCAAACTTCTTCTCAAATCCTGGTGGAAGATCCATGAATTCCTCCTCTAATTCACCGTTTAGAAAAGCATTTTTAATGTCGAGCTGATGCAAGGGCCAATTACGGTTTGCTGCTATGGACAGTACCCGAATAGAATTGATCTTGGCTACCAGAGCGAATGTCTTCTAATAGTTAATTCCGTGAGTTTGAGTAAATCCTTTCGCTACTAATCTTGTTTTATATCTTTCGATACTCTCATCAGCTTTGACTTTAGTAATGAAGACTAATTTACACCCAACGGTAGAATTGTTTCGT